CCTCGGTTGTTACTGGTGGTTATTTGAGTCACTGTTGCCTTTCTATCAGCTCGAACCAGTCTGCCGAGTTGCCGCCATGTGATTGGCTGATTAGAAATTAAGTGTTAACGAGCAGTTGGACAGGTGTACCTAATAAAGTGGCTGGTGAGTGTATATATTTTCATTATATGTATAATATTTTATTTTACTCTGTCATGGTCTAATTATTTACATCTGTTTCCCCTTGACACTCTCCATCACTCTTATCTTTCTGATAGCTCCGGACGACTCCAATGGACTGAACTCTAAAAGACTCTTTGGGCTGGGAGTCCTGTGATAGGCTGGACAAAACTGTCACATGGTGTTGACATAATGTATATTATTGGCTGTATTCTGCTGACGCGTTCAGTCGCAAGCATGCAGAACCTTCCTGATTCAGTTCTGTTTGTTTGTTGCTCATAATTAAACCATATTTGATTATCGTATACGCAGACCTTTCTGGTATTATTCCAACGTGTTTCTGCTTTTGCGACGACAACTCCATTTCTTTTGCCTCAAGTTCACTGCTGACAGATTTGGGGGGGAGACACACACACACACGCACACACACAGTAAGAAGGCTCTAAAGAGAGGAGGGGGTGTGGGGGCACGTCTGCACTGTCAAAGTCAGCTGTGCGTCACCGACACACACGCAGAGACAAAGGGGTGGAGAAAATGACAGGCTGCCTCTAGGAGGCAGAGAGAGAGAAAGAGAGAGAGAGGGARTAAGGAGGGGCTTAATGGTTTTTTAAAAAATAACTTTTGCCTTATTAATTTATAAAACCAGAATATTTTCATTAAATCACTTACTTTCACTGACAGACACGCGTCGGCTTTGACCAGACGGCGTAGCTTGATCTAAAATTAAAAAATAAAATAAAAATAATTTAGAACAGGAACCAGAAATTGTTAAAACAGGAAATACGTCACGGATGTGAACAAAAATGGTCGATTCATTCTTACACTCACCGTCCGCATCGTTTTTCACCTCGTCAGGTTCTTTTCTGCTTTTCGGCTGTCGGAGCAGGGACGTCCCCCGAAGAGACGACGGCTTGCTGGGGTTGAGATGGTTGAGACGGAGGACGGCGCACAGAAACGGATACAGCAGGAGGAGCAGACCTGGGAGTGGGACCAGAACCGCTACCAGACACACCTGCCGCTGCCACACCTGATCTGGGGTCTTGAAGACAGTGGTGATTGTGATTGAGTTGCGGTGAGTTGACAGATGCATGATGTGAATTCTCCTTTTTATAAAAGCCCACTTTAGTTTCTTTGGGTCCGCTGTCTGATACAGAAAAAAATACAAATTTTTAGATGATGAATCTGATAGACAAAAAAAAAGATAAACAGATGGTGTCAATAAAAAAGGAGACTTACTCGTTATGTGATCAAGATCAAAATAAGCAAATTCTTGATCATCATTAGAAAGAATGGCATGAATCTGTGTGGTGAAATTCTGCGCTGAGAAAAAAAATTAATGCATTTTTTTAGAAGCAGATAAAAGAAATATGAATTAAAAATGTTTTTTTGGTTAAATTAGCAAATACTTACAGGCCATAGTTTTCTCCTTTGTTTATTGATGAAGTACTTCTGTTTACAAGGATGCAAAAGCAAAAATCAAGAACACGGATGGAAGGCTCTAGCAGGCGAGAGGATTGAAAATGGACACTGGTCCTCTGAGGTCTGCATTTATAGAGAAATTTTCCCACCTTTTTTCTCAAACAATGGTGATGCATAATTGAAGAAAATAATAGCCATTTTCAAGGATGAAAAGTTATAAAGTAAAACAAAGCATCGGTTGCAATAGAAAGTGTTTTCTCATGACCTCAGAGGTCAGGCTAGTCATTGGTCAGGCGAACAGAGAAAGAATAGGAGAAGAACAATTGAATGCCTTCTGTCTTATGATCGGAAAGGAGAAAAAGACACTTTTTTCTTGCCTTTGTTCAAGCATCTGTCCTTTTTGAAGGATAAAAGTTTTTTAGTCAGAGCGGCAATTCACTTTTGACCACAGAGGTCAAAGTGTTCAGGTTCATTGACCGCTGTCATGGTGGCCTACCATACAATGAGACAGGGTTATGTGTGTGAGTGTGTGTATGTGTGTGTGTG